TTCCTTTTACCTAGAAGAGCAACTTCATTTCCGTGGAATCAGCATAGTTACAAAGAGGTTTATTTTAACAAGAGGTCTGTGAATTGGGTGACTATTTACATTTTACAACTTCTTAAGTGTTTTTAGTGTGATGACACTGAACCAGGTTGCATCAGTTCAGTGCCTCTTGACTCATGCTCATCTCTGTTAAGTCTGTCTGAAGATGAGGGTAGATGTTTTAGTTCAGTTTGTTCATTACCATAAAAACAGGCGGGCTGCAAGTTACAACTGGATCCACTTACTCAACAGCAGGACTTTCCTAGTAACTCCTTTGTTCCTGTAACTGATAGCATTTACTTTGGGAAAAGAAAGTGCCAGCTATCCAAAGGTGATAGTCAAAGGAAATCCATCACTGGAAAAAAAAAAAAAAAAAAAAAAAAAAAGTGATCTTTTTATTATATTTGGAAAATGGATTTCTTTTCTTTTTCTGCAATTTCTACCCAGCATCTCTCCACATTTATTTTCATGTATAAATTCAAATCCTATGGAATATAGTAAAAAGACAGTGCTCCATTGGTCCACCAGCAACACACCTTTTGTTTTGTTTTTGTTTTAATTTTAATTCTGTTCTTGTCCTGACTACCCCATCCCTCCACCTAGAAAGTACCTTGTGAGACACAGCGCTGTTGCTTGATATGTCAGCCCTTTTTCCCTATGGAAAGTGTCATGTAAAATCATCATGTGATGACTGCTACAATCAGAAGGAGCAAAGGAAAGACCAGGGCAGAAGCTGCCTTTACAAATAGGAAATAATACCCCATGGTCATATGACATAATCCTGGAATTAGTGACCCATCAAGTACAAGTCCCTGTAGCAGCTGCATTTTAGTCTGACAAATGGCATTGTATAAAATCTCTGAATGTTTTCTTGAACAAATCTAGTCAGAATGTAGTTTGTCCTGCCTAGATATATTTGTTTGAATGCCTTTTTAAAGGCTTTTTCAAGGCAAGGTTGGAGGGAGCTCTGAGCAACCTAGTCTAGTGAAAGGTGTCCCTGCCCATGGCAGAGGTTGGAACAAGGTGACCTTTAAGGTCCCTTCAAACCCAAACCATTCTGTGATTCTCTCATTAAAATGTACATCATTGGCTTAAAGACATGTGTAGGGTATTTTTGGAATACTCTGAAATTTCAGAAATGCAAGAAAAGGCTACAAGAAATACAATAAGCCTACAAGAACCCTTATAGTACTAAGGCTGATTATAATACATCAAAGCATTGGGCTGGATTTATAAATCCCTGGATGCTGAAATCTCACCTGTAATACAGTTTGGTTCTTTTAAGGCAGGTACTGTTTTTTAAAGGGTATCTGGGAAGGCTCATTCCTTTTTTAAATTTTTTTAAATATATGTATATATAACTACCACTGAAAATTATACAAAGACAAAATAATAATCAAGTCAGGCTCTTTGTAATAAAACACAGAAATGCTGATGTCAGTCCTGTACCTTCCCATGACACATCTACTTTATGGTATAGCTCAATATTTAACTGTGGTTAAAACTGCTTCAGTGAGGGCTCACATTTAAGTGTTTTAATGTTTGTTTTTCCCAGTCATGAAGAAAAACTCAAATGGTTTCTTGTTTAAAGTGAGGGGTTTTTTGTTGAGTGGGTGTTTTCCAGAATTCCTCATAAAATTAGTTTCTCTTTGAATCTGAGAGAAAGGCTTATAATCTATTTGCACAGCTTTTCCTGGGGAGAATTTTGACTGAGTATAGGTAAAAAAAAAAAAGTTACTTTTCTTCTCTAAGGGAGAGTTAACATCAGATTTGGCCTGTATCAGTTTTTTACCTGAGACATCTGTCAGTGTTTCCAATGTGCGTACTTTCCACTTGATCTAGATCTTCTGTCCTCACACACTTTCCAGTGCTGCAGCCTTGCTCAAGCTGAGCTCAAGGCCCTCTCCCTAAGACCCCCTCACTTAGCTTCTAAAGAAGCTTTAAATACAAGAAAAACCTCAATCTAAGGCATCTTAGCCTTGTAGCACGTCTTGGTTTGTTACGTGTGTCTGCACTGACACGGGGCAACTTGACTGAGATGTTTGCAGTCTGTTTCTGCAATAGAGGTGCTATAAATAAATAAAACCCATCTTGCCAAATTGCCTAATGGAACACATTTTTCTGTGGGGTGGTGGGGTGTTGTAAGAATTCTTCATTTGTTGTTCAGGCCTTCAGAAATGACGATGCTGGCTTCTGAAGTCATGACATCTGGCACATAAACTCCATTTGGCACATAATTATCTTTGTGGTCATGTTCATTTGCTTTCCGCTTTGGAGGTTTGGGGTTTCTATGTGCCAGCTTCTGGTTGTATCTGAAAGCATAGATATTTCTAATATTATCCTCAATTTAGAGCTGAATCAGGGCTTTTTAATACTGTAAAAAATATTTTTGTCCCCTAAACACGAAGGGAGATGCTGTCCTGGACACTGATCCTTTTTGGCAGCCGAAGAGTGCATAGGGAAAAGGCAGAGAGGAGCTGTTTTGGCAGCCTGTGCTGGTTGTTCTGCTGGCTGTCCTCTTCCCCAGAGCAGTCAGCATAGACCATGGACAGGTGGCACCAGTTACCAATACTTGGCTTTCTTTTTATTGTATTTTTTATTCTTATTATTCAGCCCAGACTTCAAGGAGCTAGTTTCCTTAACAGCTGAAATAAAACCAGGTTGTTGGTAGTGCAGAATGGCTGCTTACTCCCTATTACAACACAGCCCTTCCTTCTACTTCTTGCCTGTTGTTTTAAACTTAAAAGGGAGGTTTGCATCCTAGACACCTTTATAGTACCTAGGACACCTTTATAGTACCTAGGACAAAGGATTCTGCTTTACACGATGGAACTGCTGCACCAGCTTTCCTTTTTGCCATGCATACATAGTGCTGTACAAGTATCCAACAGAAAAGTATGAAATACCACTCTGCAACTATCCCCAAGTTTAACATTGTTTAAAGCTGTGTTTGGCAAGTAGAGCTGAGGCATTTCTTTGTATCCAAGAGTAGCTGCACAAGTAGAGGGCAGAAGCCAAATCTGTCTTTCCAGGCTACGTAACCCTGGGTGTGGTTAAAAGATGAATTAACCGCTTTTAAATCCCTGCTGGTGCCAAAAAGGACATCATTCCCAGCCTTGTGTTGCTGTCTTCTCCCCAGCAGGTTAGCACTGCTCCCCTCCCCATGCAGCCAGCTGGGTTGGAACCTCATCCTGCTGAGTACTTTTTTAGGAGGGTTCATCCTTTGGTGGTTCATGATGTGGCCAGGGGAGTATTGCCAAGAGAGACACGGGCAGCAGGAATGAACCCTGGGACAGGAGAAAATGGGAACTGCTGCCCCTTTGGGTGGCAGCTTCATCTGAAACTCACCCAGTCGTGCCTTTGAGCAAAACTGTCTGTGGGTGGATATTCATAATTAAAGACAAGGAAAAGAAAAAATGAGTGTGCCAAAGATGGTTCCCTATTTGGAAAGCATCCTGATCTGCGTTTGTTTTTCTGTACCATTAAAAGGTGACATGCAGGTCTCCAAGCTACATTTTAGCCTGTGCAAGGGTGAGAGTAAAAAGGTTGACTGTACATGAATCTGTGCAGATGTGCTGACCATCAGCAATGATTTATGTTCAATGTACATGAATCTGCAGATGTGCTGACCATCAGCAATGATTTATGTTCAATGTACATGAATCTGTGCAGATGTGCTGACCATCAGCAATGATTTATTTTCAACGTACATGAATCTGTGCAGATGTGCTGACCATCAGCAATGATTTATGTTCAATGTACATGAATCTGTGCACATGTGCTGACCCTCCAAGCCTTTAGCACCAGCCCAGGAGGAGATGGAGGGGAGATGACAGAGGGAGGTGGAGGTTTTAGTCACCTTTGATGACATTAGAAAAAACCACAATAGTTCTCTGTGTTGCAATGTGCTTGGCATTGGTTTCTTTGTAGTTCTAATCTGAGAGCAAAAATAGTCCAGATACTTGCTTGTTTTGGCTGACTTGGCAGATTAAAATCTCTTTTGTCTTTTCCATGGGACTTTCCTAAAGGAAGTAACACAATCTCTGCAGACAAAGCATTCTTTACAAGGTGTAAAACAAGCAGGGAAATTCTGGTTCAAGTGGCCACAGTCACTGATTCATAGCAGGGTTGGGTTAGGGGATTCCCTGGCACTCTGCAAGTGATGTGTGGCTGTTGCCTCATCAATTCCTGTAGTTTTAGGCTCTCTAAACCATCCAGTTAGGGAACTTTAAGCAAAGGTATGTTTTCCAAAGTGTTACATCGATTTTCTCATTATGCTGGCAAAATTTCCCTCATTTTGCCAATGAAAGTACACAAGAAATACCAAATAATTCTGTGACTTTTAGCATTCACACCTGCAGAAATACTGTGTGTTTCTACCAGCCAGCATCGTGGAACAGACACCAGTGCCAATTACTCAGTCTTTACCTTGCTCTCTTCCCCCATATCCTTTAAGTTTGCAAATTGCCTGCTTTGTGCATTGCAGTGACACTCAGAATAGAGATGTTACCACTTGCTGGAATTTGGAGAAGGATCTCATTCCTGATTCTAGCCAAAGCTCACATGATTTAATCGAGGCAATATTTTTTTTAGAAGCATCAGTCCTAACGGGGCTTTGGCTCTGCTCCTTGAGCAGTGCTGTAATCTGCTTGGAAGTCAAATATCTCAGCTATGAGGTATTTGCTGTGTGGCTGTCAAACATGCTATAAACTTCGAGCTCTTACAACTAATCAGCATTGTACCAATGCCCTGTGTGCAAAAATAGCAGCTTTAGGCCCTTGATGTAAAAAAATACTAATAAATAATTTTTAAAACTTGGTTCCATCAAAGTGTGATATTCTCCAATGTTGCTGTTCCTGGTTTTCTCTGTATGCATCAAAACAAATGGCTTAGTGTGGGGTTTTTTTTCATTTTTACTGCACAGGTTTCTGTGAAATTATGCTTCTTTTTTCTTTTCTTTGTAGGTAACAGAGACTTTGCTCCTGATGATCCGCTGGAATTTAAGTCTCATCAGTGGTTTGGAGCCTCTGTAAGATCCCAAAATGATAAAATTCTGGTAGGTCTTCGATGCCCTTCAGATGCATCAGTACTGAGATACTGCAGTGGAAGAAAATGTGAAGAGATCCAGATAACTTAGAATTTAAACAAAATCGCACTGATCAGAGTGAATTGTCTTTTCTTCAGAATTTCTTAGCTAGGATTTGCTTAACTCCTTATAAACAAAGCTAGGAGCATTTATTATAGTTTTAAGGAAAGCAGTAAAATTAGTTTGATGAAGTTAGAATGTGTTATAAATTCTTGATAAACACTTCACAGCTGTTGCTTTAAGAAAATATTATTTCTAAAATTCTTGATATGAATTAGCTATTTATAAAATACAAACTAATGGTGATTCTGCCCCACTGCTGATAGTATGAATATCCTCTAGTAACACGACATACATCTGCTAGGTTTTTTTGGGGTTTTTTGTTTTTTTTTGGTTTTTTTGGTTTTTTTTTTATATTATTTCTAAAATTCTTGATATGAATTAGCTATTTATAAAATACAAACTAATGGTGATTCTGCCCCACTGCTGATAGTATAAATATCCTCTAATAACATGAGATACATCTGCTAGGTTTTTTTTTTTTTGTTGTTGTTGTTGCTTTTCTGTAAAAAATTGTAATTTCATTGTATTGTTTGATACCCACCAGTATTTTGAAGAGGAGTTTGTTTCCTCACTGTCGTGTGTTCTTCCCTAGGCCTGTGCCCCGCTGTACCACTGGAGAACTGAAACAAAGCAAGAGAGAGAGCCTGTAGGAACTTGTTACCTGCTTGCTGGGTCAAAATTTGTGGAATATGCTCCCTGCAGGTCAAGTGAGTATGGGGCTCTTAGGTTGCTTTTCTCTTCGGAATTCCTCTTGTGTCACATTTTGTGTACATTTTGGAGCAGGATGTTTTACAGCTATTTCTCCCTTCCATGTATAGCAACTAGAACAAAACTTAAAAACTAGATCCAGACATCTGAATTCTCCTCCAGGTGAGGTCCAGGATGCAGACCTTGTTTTCACCACTGTAGGCCAAAGGAAAATCTTAGGTCCAAGTATCATTGGGCTTGAGGGCTTCTGTTGTTGAAGAGACCAATTCTGTAGTAATCACTCAAGCAAAATTGTGTAGCGAGTGCTTTTTCAAAAAACAATTCTGGAATACTTATGAATCTCAAGTATTTTATCATTATTCAAGTACATCAAGGTGCAAGCTCGTTTTAGAAGACAAGGTTTTGCAAAAATAAGTTCTGATGTCCCTGTGTGTATACATGTGTAGTGATGCATGGTTTAAATTATCTTAACTATTGAACATTTGGAGTCTTATTTTCCAATGCTTTGCATTTATTTCCTCTATTTGGTCTTGATTATTTAGAAGTTTATAACCTAAAACTTGGATGTTGAAGTTAGGATTGACTTTTTATTTGCTGAAAATCATTTGTGAACAGCAGGAATAAAATCCAGCCTGGTCCAGCATAACAAGAAGCTAAATAAGCAAGCATTAAATTAAATCATGCTAGTTACAGAGTCACACTTTCACATAAGGAGCTCCCAGCATTTCTACTCTGAAGCTGTATAATCCTAAAATTGATTCAGCCATAACAATTCTTGCTGGGATGAGTCTCAGTATGGAGGTATTTTTTCAGCCAGGTATGTTCTTTTTGTTTTAAGACAATTCAGCTTTCTTTTCCACACCCAAAGAAAAACTTATCCCCTCTTTCCTAGGTATCTTGTTTCCTGAATAGAAATTGCAAATATATTTTCCCCAAGACTTTTGAAAGGAATTTGGGACTGCTGTTTGCCTTGAGTGTGCTGGGCTAGAACACATGCCAATGTTACTTGTCTATTAGGCCAGCCCTAAAGTTGTTGCAGCATTTGGTTGGGAGTTGTTGATAAAGCGAAAATACTGATTAAGTAGAAAAGTATTCCAAGGTTCAAGTTTAGAAGTGCAAGTTTACATAGGGAGATGCACTGAAAAGTATCTGCAGTACTGCAGCTGATGCAGTACTGATAATACTTAATTTATTTCTTTTTCTCCTCTTTCTTTTCTGTTCTTTTTTTCTTTGGTAGCAACTATTGATGCAGATGGACAGGGATTTTGTCAAGGTGGATTTAGCATTGACTTCACAAAGGTATGTGATTTTTTTGTAATTTCTGTGGGTCAGCAGACAGCTGAAATTTTGCAAACCCTCCTGCTACAGAGCACCTAGAATCACAGCTATTATGAAACTAAATGTTACTCTTCCTGGTGGGGAGATAACCCACAACCAAACAAAATTTATAAATATACCAAAAAAATATCTTGAAACCATTTAAAGAAAGAGCTTTTATAAACCTGTTTTTCCTTACATCTTCACAGCAGCTCACTTTCCCCTCTTGTAGGAACCATGTCCTGAACAAATAATCTGCTTTCCCAGCTGCCTGCCATACCCCTCTGCTGCAGCTGGTCCTCAAGTGAATTCAGTGTGATAGTCAGGATTTTTGAGACATGGGATTGGTGCATAGCTATTGTTACTTCTTGAGGAATAACAGCTCAGGGAGCTGGTAAACAATGTGCTTGTGAATCATGTTTGATTTTCTCATCAGCCTGCAGAAGTACAGGGGTTTTTTACTGACTTGTGTTTCTTCTGTGTTTTCCCTGCCTATTCTAGTTCTTTTTTTTTTTTTTTTTTTCAAATTCACAATTACTTTTGAAATCCAAGCAAAACTGTGCACAGATCTGAGAAGGTGCTATGGGCTTTCATATTGTACAGTGAAATTGTTGGGCAGAGTCAGGACATGTTAAGACCACGCAAGCCCAGTTTGTGATGTGCTCTTTTTTTGGGTTCTCACATCTCAGGATGAGGTCATAGCTCATCACTCTTTGCCCAGGGCCGCTCTTGGTTTTCCTCCAGAGGGAAACTGCCAAGTGCAGGAGAGGGCTGTGAGTGTTTGGGTTATTTTGCACACACCCTCAGGGTCACTGTGCAGATTCCAGGCCTGGTTAAAACCAACTTTGGGCTCTAATCCAAAACCTTAGAGTGGGCAAGCCAGGATGTATCTCCAAATGTCTGACCTAGATTTCTCTGAGTGGTGAATATAGGAGTTTTTAGGATTAAAACCTGATTAAGAGGCTTAATTATGCAGCAAAGCCTATGGCCTAATTCAATACTTACAGAGCAAATTCCCAACCCTGGGATAGCTACTGTGGTTAAAGTTTCATAAAATGGTTTGTGAATTAGGGTTGTGCCAAGAAATACGGAGTGGGGGAATTACATCACAGTTATTCTGAATTAAGCTTTTCTAGTGATAACTTAGAGAAAATGGCAGAGGCAGAAGATGACACTATTTTGTGTACTGTCCCCAAAACATGATGTAACACTCTGAATTTTCTCCCAATTGTATTTGTATTGCCATACGTTTATGGGGGAAGAGGGGTCTATTAAAATAAAAACAGAATAATTCTGCCTAGAATTCTAAATGCGTGAAATAGTCATTGGAGGTTTTTGTTAGCATTTTGCAAGATGCATTTCTAATTAATCACTCCTTCAAAAAGGAAAATGTGTGGTTGTCAGCAGAGCTGCAGTGATGTACATGCCTGGGATTTCTTCCCGCAAACATAGGATGTGCTGTCTGGCTTTAGATGTGCTTCATGTGTTTTTAATTTTTCCTTCTGTCTTCCTTTCTTTCTTCCCTTCCAAGGGAGACAGGGTGCTGCTTGGAGGACCTGGAAGTTTTTACTGGCAAGGTGAGATACATCATTTAAGTCACAGAGAAGATGACCTTTATGATTTTTCTCTTTATCCTCTTAGTCATTTTGATCCACAGTCTTCCAGCTGCTGTCAGAGTCTTTGTCAGGAAGAAAACCAACAGAAATGTTTCTTTGTCCTTAAGAATATCTCCTGAATAATCAAGGCAACCACAGATAATGGTTGTAGTAATAATAGCATAGATGTCTTTTTTGTTTTATATAATTCCATGATCCTTACAAAGGCATTTTCCTGGAACCTGGGATTCATTTTCATCAGCAGGAAAAGTTTCCTTTGTCTTATTTTGTTTTGCTGTGTACATGTTTCATAATTTGACAAACAAAGAGTGCATTTTCAATGAGAAATATCCCCTCTAAAGAAAATTTCGTTGTTTTTCTCTGATGGCAAAGATGTTTTGCATTTGTCTTAACTGGCTTGTGCTGTGGGACACATTGTACCTCTACCTGGCATTACCTGTATACTTTGCTCCTGTGGGATTCAGGATTATTCAGCTTTTAACTGCAGCTCTCTGTTCAAAGGAGGGTGCTGCTGTAATCAGGACACAGCTGCCAGACTCTGCTGCCTGCCTTTTAATGGAACTTCTAACATATTTTAATAGATTTTCTGTATCATGCCAGTCTACATCTACATGTAGGTGCAGCAGCACAGGAGGCTTGCTCCAGTCCTGTTTTAAATTACAAACAAAATTAAATTACTAAAGCTAAACTGCAGATGCAGTATCACATAAATTAGGTTCCTATATTCATTTTATTGCTTTTTGGCAAAAGTGACACCTCATCTGCCAGAACAACCTCATCCTCTTCTACTACTACCAAAAAAGCCCACTTGGCTCTGAATAGAACACAATAGTATGCTTCTGAGAACAAGATTTCTCATCCTAAAATTTATTCCACATATGCTGAGTTGCTGGAGGAGTTTTCCCTTCATACACACATGAATATGTATGTGAAGTAAGTGCCATTCTGAACAGGGTTTTTTGGTGATCCAAGCTTTAATTTAGACTCGAAGAAAAGAATGTAAAGGAGTCACCACCTAGTGGCTGATGAAATGAAAATGGAGAACATGGCAATACACCTTGCTCATCTCATTTTTGTTCATTTTATTGGCTTCTTGTCTGCCAAAACAGGCTCTCCTGTTGTGGTATTTGAGCAAGGAGCACCCACAGGGCTCAGTTCTGCTCAACCATGAGTGTATGATGTCTCAGCCCAGCCTTTTAAGTCCTGCCTTAGTTTGGCCTCTGCAGTGTGTGCCTTTGATTCAATATGTGAATAAGTTTTTTGCTGGAGTGGGATCCATATTTTCACTTGTGTCCTTCCTGGAGCTGCTGCAGTTGGCCCCTCTCTGGTTGGTGCTGTGGAAGAGCCGCTGCTTTTGAAGGCAGGGAGTTCTGGTTGTGGTTTTCAGCTCTTTTCTCTCTCTCTTTAGGCCAGCTGATTTCTGATCGAGTGACAGAGATTGTGGCCAAGTATGACTCCAAAGTCTACAGCACCAAGTATGATGACCAGCTAGCAACCAGGCCTGCCAGTGCTGCTTTTGATGACAGCTACTTGGGTACGTGGTGGGAAAGGAGAAAGCTCCACCTGCACCACTCCCTGCTTACCTCTAAATCACACAACTAACAATTCCACATCTACATTCCTGAAAATGCACTCATTTGTGGATGATGGAATTGTAGTTATTTATTGTAGTTATTTTGCCATTAGCTTGATTCAAAAAGCACCCAATGACAAAATAAATGGAAGTATTTTCATGATTTTACGTGCTCTGTGATTCAGGCTGAATATGAGAATGGCAGAGGTATGATTGTTATGTGAAAGGTTAGTCACATATGTAGTTGTTTGTTTGTTATTTAAAAGCAGCTGTTTCTAAGTAACCTAGCAAAACAAAATAAAAATGTTAAAGAATTATGATTTAGAAGAAAAACAATGAGGAGTGGGACATAATTTTGCTTCATGTATGTCTAACCAAGCTCAGAAAAAAAGCAAGGACAATTCCCAGGATGATAATTTTAAAATTTTCATCTTCTGATCTTAAATTCCTGGATACTGATGAGTTACAGCCACTTGTGGAGTTTTTCATAGTCTAAGCTGCTTCAAGGCAATATTTATACCAGTGCATTTTAAGATGAAGAGAGGAGGGCTGTGCACAGAGACGCAGTGTAAAGAGAGATGAAAGGTTCAATAACGTTTTTAAAGCCTCCTCTTGTCTCTGCAGGTTATTCAGTGGCTGTTGGAGACTTCAATGGTGATGGCATCGAAGGTAAGCCCCTTGCTCCAGTAAGAACATCATGTTAATATGATGGGCAGATCTTTCAAACCAATGGTACAGTGCACAGGGAAATGCATCAAGGGCTAGGAATGAGCTGTTCTGTTCAGCAAAGTCACTGTGCCTTGGGATCTGACTGCTATCTGTGTCTTGCTTTATGTTTCAGACTTTGTGTCAGGAGTCCCACGGGCAGCAAGAACTCTGGGCATGGTAAAAAATTTGAAACATTAAACTTTACAATAAATAAAAAAAAGGTGACTATATCTGGTATGCTGTAATGTGTATTTCTCCACGTGCAGGTGTCCATTTACAATGGAAAAAACATGTCGTCCATGTACAACTTCACTGGAGAGCAGGTGGGTGGCTCTGCTGAGTGTGCTGGGTGACCAGAAAGCCTTTCCTTTGTTGCAGCACTATTTAGGGTACTAGATAATAGTCTGTATATTACTGGCTTGATTGCCAAAGCAACATTTTATGAAGTATGAGGGAATTCTAATCTTATTTCAATAAAGGAAGTGCTGCCTGTTTTGAGAGCTGGGAAAGGATCATGAAATGGGAAAAGTAATCAATGGGTTTACTTTCTAACAGAGTATGGAAGAGAAACAAAAAAAAGGAACAAATAAAATTTGTGGCATATATTATCATCTCCCTGATGTATTTTGTGCACAGATTTGTGTAAACTTTTTTGTTTGTATCATTACAACTCATAGGTTTGGTTTGAATTTTTTTTTTCCAGATGGCTGCCTATTTTGGGTATTCAGTGGCTGCCACAGATATTGACGGGGACAAGTAAGTGTCCTCTTCTCACCAATACCACCCAACTTGTTTCTAGAAAGAAAAAAATAGCTTTTATTAAAAGGTCTTTCCCACAATCGAGATTTCTGTCTTCATTGCTGGTTTAACACATCTGCACGACTCTTTTGCTAACACTCCACATTTGTTTTAACATTTGTAGGCTTGCTTTTGTATTTATCTACATAAATACATGTGTATATTCACATGCTTAAGGTCCATTAAATTTTTGTATATTTGTGCTTACTTGGTCAATAAATATTTGCCTTCAGTGGAATTTAAAGATAGTGAACTGTCATCTCAGTGTTGACTTCAGTGTTGAGCTAACAGGTGCTGAAAAGAATGATTTTTCCTGCTGCTACTGAAGAGCTCTGTCCTTTTTGGTCCAGTTACACAGATCTGTTTATTGGAGCCCCTCTTTTTATGGATCGAAGTTCAGATGGGAAGCTTCAGGAGGTTGGCCAAGTAACCATCTGCCTTCAGCGAGCCTCTGGAGGGTTTCAGACAGCAAAGCTGAACGGCTTTGAGATCTTTGCGAGGTTTGGCAGCTCCATCGCACCCCTGGGGGATCTGGATCAGGATGGCTTCAATGGTAGGATGTTGATTCTTGCTCAGGATCTCCTGGTTGTGGAGGGTGATGCCTCAGGTTTTAGCTTTTGTATTTTTCAGATTCTGTGCTGTTTTAGTGTGTGGGTCTGGGCTTCATATTAGGGCATGGTGAGCTCTGTGCACAGAGTAGGGAGACAAAACAATTCCTGCTCTAGCAGGGGACCAAGGACCAATGATCCAAATCTCAGGCCCAAGAGCATAAACAGTGTGAACTGAAGAGAGAAAAAGAAGGATGGGGCTTTATAAGCTAAAGCTGTAACTGGACAATTAGCTCCAATATGCGAATGGACCAAACTTATAAAAGTGAGAGACCTCGTGACCAGTTGTCCATTTTGTGACCATTTTGGGTTCACCTTGGCTGTAGCCCTGGCTGGGCTCTTGCGCTACTCAAGGTGGATCCATTGAGGCATCCTACTTTATTCTTTAGCTCAGTCTAGTCTGTGTTCTAGGTCAGCCTGCACAAGGCATCCAGGGAGCCCAGCCAGCAGAGGGAATGTGGATCCTGCACACAAACACTCGGCGCTGTAGCCGTGAGCGAGTGTGGGATGCTGAGGTCTAGACTCCCTTCGATGCTTGTGTGCTACTCCCAGGAATGCTAACAGGAGTTCCATGGATGCATCGAGCTGAGACTATACCATTGACACGACATGGCAGCATGGGCTGCTCTAGCTCTTACACTGACCACCTGATTGCTTTCTAAGCCATGACCACAGTAGGAACTTCAATAAAATACCTGACCCTCCACTGTGACCTGTTAGGACATCTACAGTAGATATTTTTGCCCCTGACGAGGGAGGAATGATGAGGAGGACTCCACTGATATCAGAAAGCTAATTGATTACTTTATTACACTATATTATTCTATATTATATTACGCTATATTACATGACGTCTAAACTGGATCGGCCAAGCACTCAACTCCACAGAATCTCGTGACTCTCAGCCAACAGTCCCGACACACACACACACACTTGGCCCTGATAGGCCAAGGAAACAAAACACCATCACTTTGAGTAAACAATCTCCATACTGCATTCTGCTTTGGCACAAAAACAGGCACAGCAAATGAGATAAGAATTGTGTCTTCTTTCTCTGAGGTTCCTCGCTGCGATTCCCAGAAAATATCCATGGGAAGTTGTGCCTTGCTTTTCTCTGTGAAGAGAAATGCGGCCACAGACATCTTCATAATTTTCCTCTTTCCATTGTTTAAAGACCATTTTCCTCTCTAGAAACACAGTGATGACAGAAAAGAAGATTTGGTTTCAGATTGCTGGTTAAAAATGTTCATTTAAAAAAGATTTTCCTGAGAAAATAGGGTTTGGTTTTTTAAATTTATTATTCAAAATGGAAGAGTTTGGTGGAAATACTGCATAGCAGCTACAGCCAGATGTACCAAGAGCTGAGTGTCTTGAGTGAGTAACTGGAAGAGAAACTTGAGTCTGACACAACTGGAGCTGAGACTCTCAAACCCTTTGCCCAAGCTTCTTGTTACTTTCTGATAGGAATGAAAAAACAATAAAGCAGACAAGAATCACGTAGTGTTGGGATGGAGATTTCCAGGAGTCCTAGGGAGAACACTTTTTAATGCCCATTATACTCCAGTGTTGCCTAAAGAGTAGTGGGAATTTGAGTTCCACCAAAAATCTTCATTTTTTCCATTCTGCTTGCATGCTAGGTGTTTTCTGTATGATCAAAAATTACAATAGATGGTTACTTCAAATTCCCAGGTAGCTCTAATTTATTTTTGATGAAGTCATAATTTCCCAGCATAGTGGAAATTGGAAGGGACCTTTTTAGTTGCTAACTGGGTGTAGAATCAGTGTGAAGATGCAATGTCACTGCAGCTATTTACAGAAGAGATTGGAGAGCTGACAGCAAAATTCCAGTCACTTGATGAGATTATCCCAAACATTTTTTGATTCCACCGTACATACATTTGAAATACACTGTAGGAAAGAGAATCATAGCAAAAGCTGCCTCTTCCAAATTGCTTTGCTCTTATTTAGTCTGTTTGTTTTGGGTCTTATTGTTCTGCCTCATTTTGGGAGTGTTAATTAAAAAGCCTTCCATCGCAGTGTGGTGCAAGATAGAAATTTTTACTTCATTAATTTTGTAAATAGGAGTCAAAAATACAAAACTGTAAACTTTTGAGTCCTTATTCTTTTCATCAAACTTCCCTAAATTTCAGAAAAGAAGAAGGAGAAATGTGATTATTCCAAGTAGTGCTTCATATTTGGTCCTTGAACTGTCTATGGAAATGTTTAAATTAGATCATAGGTGCACTTTTAAGGCTGTCCTTACAGGTAGTCTAATTAGCATTTTGTTTCCTACCATTTATTAATCATTAACAGTGAGTACTTTTAAATTTAAGAGATAGAATAACTGCACTAACTGGAAGATCTCCATAAAGCATGCTGTCAAGCCATGACTGGGATAGTCTGCATTTTAATATTTACCATTGGTTCAGGATGATTTAAGTTTTCCAGAATTATTAATATGTCCCACCCTTTGGAGCAACATGAGCATGTAAAGGGAATGGGAAAAGTCACACTTAGTTTTGTGGTTTGGCACCCACAGTGACTAACTCTTGTTTTAATAGTCTCAAAAGCATCCCAAATCCATATGATTTTACTGCAAAAAAAGTCACCAAAGTGGAGTTTTTTCTAGAACTGTATCTGTCCTTCCTCTCCCTGTAAAAGGCTGTGACATGTTCTTGTTAAACATTTGTACTTTGTAGAAAAAACAGCATTCAATAATATAAGAAAAATCAGAACAAATAAAAGGAGGAATAAACAAACAAATGTTCATGAGCATTTTAAAGGCTGGTTGCACTGCCTCCCTACTGACACACATTGAAGCTGTAATGCCAGAAATTATTGATTGATGCAAACGCAAATATGTTCTAGTTTGTGTCTGGAGACGTTGATGATTCTTCTTTTGGTTTTCAGATGTTGCAGTTGCTGCACCATATGGTGGAGAGGACAAGAGAGGACTTGTGTATATCTACAATGGAGGAGCCAGTGGTTTGAATGCCATCCCATCCCAGGTCCTGGAAGGGCAGTGGGCCGCTCGCACTATGCCTCCCAGCTTTGGGTACTCACTGAAAGGAGCCACAGATGTGGACAAAAATGGATATCCAGGTCCTCTGCTCCAAGTGGCACTTTGCAATAACTCAGTAGCAGCCCCACCCTTGAGAAACAGCATATTTCACAAAGCAGGTTGTAATGTGTAATGTGTCTCCTCTCTTTCTAGACTTGATTGTTGGAGCCTTTGGTGTTGACACAGCTGTTCTGTACAGGTAAGGGTCCCTCTGTGCTTGTACCTGAGTGAAAGCTCAGGGGAGTTCTGGAGCTACCAAAGAAAGCAGGATCAGGGAAGTCTGGAAATCTGGCACTCCACTGTCCAAACCTCTGGGGGTGAAAAAACACTATACTGCTTTTATTAATGAGTAGAGCTTAAAATTCATCTTTCTCAATAATATGTTGTAAGGAGAAAACATAAATAGGCTGTCTTCAAGGCTTTCTGAGTGACAGTTTTCTAGATTCTGACACAAGAGCTGCAAGCTATTGCACTGCAATCCTGATATTCTCATCCCAGCTTGCTCATTTTGGGAGAACATATTGGTCTGTGCTATAAGTAGATAGGACTTCCTCTTTACACAGTTGTCCATGTTGTGGCTGATGGAAATGAAAGGGCACAGAAAAGCTTCATCTAGTCAATGGTTACTTGTTTTTCTTGTGGTTGCACTAAATACTGTGTGTTTGTGTATATTGCACAGTTTGATGGGGGGGCATTGTCAAACATGGTGTGGAGTGCTCTTCAAGAGGATGTTTTCTTTGCAGGGCAAGGCCAGTTATTAGAGTAAATGCTGCCCTGGAAGTTAATCCAACCATTCTAAACCCAGAAAACAAAGCCTGTTCACTGGGAGATGTAAAAGTTTCTTGGTAAGCAGAATATCTTGAGGGGACGGACTGCTTGGGTTTTAATTTTGAAAGGTTTCAGGAAGTCTAGTCAGCTAATTAAAAAAATAAAAAGAAGACAAACACAGATTTTTCTGAAAGAACAGACAATACGAAATAAGAACTCTCTGACAGCAGTTGGAGGAGCAGCACTGTCTTTAGTAGATGTCAGGCTGAGTTCCAAACTTGCAGAGACTGCCATGTGTCCCTGTTGAGCAGAGTAAGGTCTTCCCAAGATGTCAGCACATCACATGGTGTTTGCAGTGTTTCACCCACTAACACACACACTGGGGCAATGACCTGCTCTGTAAACTGATTTTGCTTCTGGATCCCAGGATATCATCCAAACCCACTTTCCCTTCCTACTGCTGACTTTCTTTTCAGGGTCAGTATGATAGCTTTAAAAATCAGACCCATTTGATTACAGAAATAAACATTCCAGTCCACTGGTGATTGTCCCTAGATGAATCAAGACTCCAAAGCTTTGCAGTGCCTGCAATTCTGCCTACTTGTTAATAGATTATAGTTTCTCTTCCATCAGTAGAAAATAGCTTTTGGGAATGAGCTAGAGTCTCAAAAAGAGGCTACATCTGAACATAAATAAATGGTGAGGAATTTTAGAAGAAAATGAGAGAAAAAGTGTGTGAAATTATTTTTTTTTTCTTCCCAAACAGCTTCAAAGTAAAGTTCTGCTTAAAGGCAGATGGCAAAGGAAAGCTCCCGAACTCACTCAGTAAGTTCTGCTCATTTAAAAATTGGAAGTCTTGTTGCACTGTTTTCAGAAAAGAGCACTGGTCATTGTCATTTTCATGACAAACAGCTGGGTGCCCTTTGCAACCACTGCTGCCACTTGGGTGGCATGTACATCTATGGGACTCTTCAGCAGGCTTTTTTGGCTGTAGTGGTGTAGAAGCCATTTAACCATATCTGAGACTTTAAACGTATGTTCAGCTATGTGGTTAACCAGTCTTGGAAAGCCCTTTGTGTTTTACAGAATTTCCAGTAACTCTCATTGAGGGGAATTTCAGACAAGAATATTCGAGTATGTGCATTGCCAGGCCTGAGAGATACAGACAAGCCACAGGGAACTTGTCACATCCTGTTGAGATCATGAATTTCTGATTGACAACAGTGACTTTTTTCATCAGATTCTCAGCTCAGAATCAGGAAAAGATTGTTTCAAACCAGTGTTTAAGTTGTCTCCAAGAGATTTTTTTAGTGTGGCAAGCAGACTGCTGCAATCAGGTTTTGTCTACTCATTGCAGATTCTTTTCCTTATTTTCTGTGGCACATACAGAGGTGGTGTGATTTTGGAAGGTTCATATGAATATCTGTTATGTATTATAAGTTTTATTATCTATATCAGATATTTCAAGTAATTAGATTAGCAATAGTATTTAAAAACACCAATGTTATGTGCAAGATTGTTTTAAGTTTTCTAGGGGAAAAAATTCTAACTTTAGTTCTTGCAGTTCTACAGCAATTACAAATTACAAAAGTATCTGTGTTCTTAGATATTTCCAGTGTTTAAGGAAAAAGCAGAATCCAATTTAGGACAGCAGCAGTGCTTGAGAACTAATGTAGTGACAGATATTACGTGGAAGGAACTGGAGGTTTTAAGAGGGGCAAACACTAGGTTTGTGTTGTAGTTGAAATGAGTGGTCAGCTCAATTTCTGCGGGAATTCTGCAGTGTGTTTAATGGAACGAAATATCCCTTACTCAAACCCTTTGGCTTGGCCAGATTTCCAGGTGGAGCTGCTGCTGGACAAGCTGAAGCAGAAAGGAGCTATCAGGAGGGCTCTGTTTCTGCACAGCAGACAGCCCAGCCACTCCAAGAACATGACAATTACAAAGGGGGGCAAAATGAACTGCGAGGAACTTGATGCCTTCTTGAGGGTAAGTAGCCATTCATGTTTTAGGCAAATAATTTTTGGTGTTTTGTGTGTTACAAGTTCATTGTGTTAGGTTTAAACAAAAAAAGGCCAGAAAATATGCTAGAGAAATTTTGTTTTCAGTGGATGGACCTGAAATTACTAAAACTATACATCTGTCCTGAATTACTGCTGCTGTCACTGCATGAATGATGAATCTTCTTGTGACTAAGGTCCTGGTCCTTAAATGCATTGGAAATTCAATTCAGAACTTTCTTCTGGACCTCTTGGATAAGTCATCCAGGCACCAAATTAGTCATAATTTCCAAGGAACATGAAAATCCATAAGCAGAGGTTGTCCCCTCTACTTTAAAGATTAAAAATTGAAGAAAAATGTGGACCTGCAACTGACAAGCCAAAATAAGCAAATAGCAGAGGAGATGGAGAAAGTTGAAGTACTAAGCTTGCTTTTTCTCAGTCTTTCTGCATTCATCCCCACAAATGTGAACAGATGCTAACACAATTTAAAAGTTTTAATCAGTAGAAGAAACATTGTGTGTAGCTATGTAAGTTCTATGCAGCTCAGATTTATCTCTGAGCACTTGTAAATCAAACATAACAATACTTGCTTCCCACTAAAAAAAACCAAATAAAAATGCTTGCAGTCATTAGGGATTCACAGAGGGTAGGTAATACTTTCTTTGGCCTGATTTTTGTGAGTGGGTTATATACAGAATTAAACATCTCAGACCTCAGGATTAGTAAAGATTTAGGATGTTTCCACCTGATCTTTTCATAAAGAAAGTAATGACACATGACCTATGTGAAATGATCAAAAATGGGGTGTGAAACCAGTTTAAAACTATAGGTAATCAGTAAATTTCTGCCCATAGAAGACATCTTCTGAAATAAGATCCTGAAGTGAGCTGTGCTAGAGTCAGTAGTTTTCATTACTCTCAGAAATGAAGCAGAGTTTACACTGAGCAAATCTGTGGCAAATGTAAAGCTAAGAGATGGTTTGGAAGTTCTCTGAAAGGCAGGATCAACATTTGATAAGCAGAATGATTTCAAATTAACAACACGAAAGTCAGCAACTTCCAAGTGCCAAGTAATAATTTCAGGAAGGAAAAATTGGAAGTCCAAAGATAAGTATCTGTGAGGGATCTTAGAAGCAGACTGAGGTTGGTCTGACAGAAAAGAGCAGAGCTGCGTAGCCTTTAGGCTCCTTGTTACTGGATTTCCATGACTTAGTATTTCTGTATGCTCCAGTTTTCCATGTTTTAAACAGGCATGTTACTGCTAAAATTGTGCAGGTTTTCTGGCAAGAGATTTTCTGCTTTGAAAAGAGCTCGGAAGTTTTAATGTTTTGGCCTCTCTACTACATTTGAATTGTGATTGAAACTTTGGTTTCCTCAGGATGAATCTGAGTTCAGAGACAAGCTGACTCCCATTACTATTTTCATGGAATATCGTCTGGACTACAGGACAGCTGCAGATGCAACAGGATTGCACCCTATCCTCAACCAGTTCACTCCTGCTAACATGAGCAGACAGGTACACTGCTTACACAGCCTGGGATGAGGGAACTCAGAACACTGGTTCATCTTGAGAAAATCAGTTAGAGTACTCCTGGAAGTGTTAATATTGAAGGCTATCATCCATTCTCATACTATGCTGCTCTATGGACATTATGTTTTGCCCTATAGTTCTATCAAGGTAATAGAAATAGTTTTTCTACTTCTGCCCTTTTTTACGAATTTTTACACTTGTTTGTAAAGAGCATTAATTCCTTAATATGAAGGGATTGTTCAAAGTATGGAAAGATGGTTAAGGTTAAGTCCTAGAACTTCAGTAGGGCAGGATAAGGCACAATGTCCCCCACATATAAAAACTCATTTGTTCTCTTCTGAGACTAATGACATGAAAACATTTCATTACCAGCTATGTGGAATTATTTTTAATGTGCTGGTGAAGCAGTATTATTGAAAATGTATGTTAGAACAGATGAAGGAATTATTACAACAGTATGTGTTTGATTTTTCCATAGGCACATATCCTGCTGGATTGTGGGGATGATAATATCTGCAAACCAAAGCTGGAGGTGTCAGTAGAAAGGTAAATACCTGACAAAAATGCAAGGAAAAGCAATTTCCTGACTTGAAGTCTAAAAATCAGTAGCTGGTAATACTTTTGTTTAAGGGATGTGTTGAAATAAGCAGGACCCTCATTGTGTGCAATCTGAACTCAGGCTTATATGCTTTAATGAAAACCTATTTTCTGCTTTGGAACCCAATGTCTTTACCATGCAATGCACCACTCCCACTCCCACCCCAGCCTCCACTCTAAGTAGGACATATTTATTTATTTATTTGCTAAGCTGGATGTGTATAGTGAGAATAAACCTCTGCTAGCTGCCACTGTATCTCTGTTCTGTTGTTTAATATCAGATAGACACAGGAAAATGTGGTTTTATGCAGCAAGGGGAGGAGTAGGGCTCTCTTGTCGCATGTATGAAAAAAAAATTGTGTTGGTATTGGCAATGTCTTTTATCAAACCTGGAAAAAAGAAACAAGTTTTCAGTGGTAGTTTGTTAATGCTTCTGAGTTTTTTTTTTACTTTGTGTGGCCTAAAACTTCTCTTACTGTATTATCTCATAATCTGTTTTTTAATGCCTTGTAGCCATAGGCACATAGTATGTAGGTAGGACACTTCACAAGCACTAATTCATGCCAACACCTCAGTAACATTTGACATCAGTGCAGATACCCTGATGCATGCTTGTAGTTGGTGAAATGAAAATACATTGTTTGGTAAGATAATCTCTTTGTGTCTGAACCAAAGGTACTGTACGGGTCTTGGCTCTATTTTGTGTAGCTGAGCCTTCCCTTGAGTTTTGTTATAAATATGTGCTTGTACCTCTGCAAAGTTGGCCTGTAATCCAAAATGTGCACAGGGATTTAGCTGCCCATCATGGTTTGTTCCTTGTGAGAAAAAGGTGTTTGTTTTTTTGTTTTGTGGTTTCACAGGCAAGATTCTTATAAAACAGCATGTAGTACTTGCTCCATTTGTTATTATAGGCACAGGGTTTTTAAAAAGTACCTTAGAGCTCTCCTGGCACTCCTGAAACAAAGGCACTGCCTCCAGATTTCTCCACTGTCTTTCTGAAATTTCAAATGTCTCCTATTTTTCCAAGTCCAACCACTTCCATGCAATCTGAAACCCGAATGCAGAACTCGCTTTCACTCTGTTTTCTTGCAGTGATCAGAAGCAGATCTACATCGGTGATGACAATCCCCTGACCCTGATTGTCAGTGCTCAGAACCAGGGGGAGGGAGCCTATGAAGCAGAACTCTTCGTCCTTGTTCCTCCCCAAGCAGATTTCATCGGGGTTGTTCGCAACAACGAGGTAAAATTCCAGCTGCTTTTGAGGAGTCGTCTTTCAGCTGCTGCTCTGGAAATCTCTGGTGGCTTCTGTTATTTCAGTCTTAGGGCAAAGCACAGAAAAAGTGACCAGTTTTTTCAAAGCCCCTCTTTTTTATAACCTTGAAAACAGGTCTGTCTTGTATCAAAAACATTTGTTTCCTTGGAGACTTCCATACTCAGATTTTATTTCATTTTATTATTTGACTGAGAAATGATATTAAAATTAATACAGCATATCTAGGACTTCTCTCCAGACGTTCATCCAGGTGCTCAGATGTAAAGAATGACATTCCTTGGTGTTTCTTTCTGGTTTGTTGCAGGATTTGGCCAGACTGTCATGTGCTTTTAAAACAGAGAATCAGACTCGCATGGTAGTTTGTGACCTGGGCAATCCCATGAAAGCAGGAACTAAGGTAAGCTTTGGTCCAACAGGTGTCTGGTAGCTCACCCAGGGGGCAGGTGGCATTTTCCTTAATCACAGCAGTGTTTGGGCAGGAAATTTCCTCCCAGGAATTTAAGATTAGACCTGACATTTAGCTGCCCACGTTTGGTTAGTACAGAAGTAGTTGGTTTTAACTTTTCAGCTAAATTAAAGGCTGGAAGGAATGTTCATGAGTTTTGTGATGCAAATCAAAAGGAGTCATTCATTAAATAGTGAAATGAATGGACTTTCATCCCTCATGAATTTTTTATATTTATCTGATATGTATTTTTTAGGATATAATCAAGAGCTAGCTCACAACATGTCTCTTCTCAATTTTCTGCCTACTTTCATGAAGAAAGACAGAGTTTTGTCTAACTGAAACCTTTACAATTCCACCAAATGTAGCTGAAATTGGAAGAATTAAAAAAATTGTTAGTGTGGCAGATTTTAAGGTGATATGACATAGTAACTCTTATTTTCTGAGGAAATGAAGTGAAAATCAGTCACAATTATAAAAATTTCATTATGCTTTTCTTCCAAGAGCCATCTTATATAGACGAGTAAAGGCTATTTCCAATGTCTTTTGGAGTGTATCAACCTGAACTGCACAGATGTTAAAGCAAATATGAATTGACTTAGACAAAACCTTGGAATTAACTTTGAATCTTTAACGTGTTCCCTGCTCTTTAGACTACAATATTTTTTGTAACGCCGGGGGTGGCTCAGTTATGTGTAGAAATGGCTGAAGTAAGGGTGGGGAGCACGATGCAATCCTTATTTTGTATTTTATGGCAGTGATGCCTTGGCTGTAATCTAAAGAGAGGGCAGTCCATTTCCAGCCTGGATGAACTGGACAACTTGAATTTGCCAGTTCTGTGTGTTCTCTCATCACCAGGAGTCTCAAGCAATTTCACTGTAGCCTAATGGCATTGAGAAGCTTTTATTGTGTGTTTTGTTGTTCTTCCAACTGAACCACAGTGGGTTTTTTTTTTCCCAGCTCTTAGCTGGCCTGCGTTTCAGCGTGCACCAGCAGTCTGAGATGGACACCTCTGTCAAGTTTGACTTGCAAATCCGGAGGTATGGAAATCTCTGAGTGTCATTGTGTTTGAGGGTCCCCAGGACGAGGGAAGAGATGAGAATCTTGACTTCATGTTTCAGAAGGATTTATTATCTTATGATATTATATTATATTGAAATGCTATACTAAAACTATACTAAAAAGAATATAGAGAAAAGGGTCCATCAGAAAGCTAGAAAGGACTGGAAAGGAATGAATAATAAAAAACTCGTGACAGACAGAGTCTGGCACAGCTGGACCATGATTGCTCATTAAGCAGAAACAACTCACATGGATCAATCAAAGATGCACCTGTTGCATTCCACAGCAGCAGATAGTTATTGTTTTTCTTTTTCTCTGAGTCTTCTCAGCCTCTCAGGAGAAAAAATTCTGGCAAAGGGATTTTCATAAAATATCATGGTGACATCTGAGGATGAACCTTACCAGGAGAGGACACACACAGTAAACAGAATGCAAACCACACAGTAAACAGAATGCAAACAACACAGTATCACTCTGGCCTAATTCTCTTGTCTTTGCCTTGTAATGGCTTGAAAAATAACCATGCTGAGTTAGGTTTCCTAAAATACAGGAAAAACTAAGAGTATTTGTACGTGCATATCGTTGTGCTCTGCTGACACTTGTGGTGCCACAGAATTACTTTGGGTTTATTGCCCTCTTTTAAAACTGATGCTTGAACTCTGAATTCCTTCTGATGTAAAACCAGAACTTCATGTATTTAGAGGGGGAGAGTCTTTCAGGGCAGGCAGTGTATGGGACAGTCAGAGCAGAAGCAACTTGCAATGAACCATCAGCCAGCCTGAAAACTAAATGGAACAAAACAGTGTTCCTGTTAATTATCAGATGAGCACTGTCATATAAATCTGATATATAAATCTGAATTTGTAACTTCTGGAGATGATATTTAAGGTTGGAAATGTGATCATGAGGAGTATCTTTACCAAATACAGTTTTATGTTGTTTTTAATGGACAGTACGAATACAGCTGGTTTGTTTTTTCCCTGTGGTGGACCAAAACCACTTTGTTTTTCCATTTAGGGTTTTATTTTTTTAATGTAGTAAATAAATTAATCTCATCCACATATGCATTTGTCATCTGTGGGAATTATGAAAGATTAAAGCTGCCATTCTATTTTAATGATGGAGTGATTTGCCATGCCAATCAAAGGCCTTGGCACATGAAATATCTCTTTGATCTCCCATTGCTGTGTGTTGGGTTTTCCCCTTCTCCATCAGCTGGTGAGGTGTGCCAGTGGCATGGGACTGTTCCCTGCAGAAAGTGATCTGCTCTGGGGTGTCTGTCACCTTCCTTAGGCTAGCAGCAGTCACAGCTGCTGTCACGGGGTCAGAAACAGGGAGGTTGCTCAAGTCATGCTTGTCTCCCGATGGAAGAGAAGGGAAGTTCCTGTTGTGTTTCAGGCCTTTTATGGAAGAAAATTCCTTCCCTGGCTCGTGGGTGCAAGAAGGGTGAGCAGTGGTGCCATGGAGCACAGTAATCACAGTTCACAGTGACAGGCATCACCAGGGGATTATCTGGGACAGCTTTTAAGGATCACACTGCTTGTCTTAAACTCACAAAGCTACATCTCCAGTGCTGGCTCAGCTCCCAGCAGAGCAGGTCTAGTCTCTGAAAGAGTGAGGTATTTACAGGTCAGGAGGAGAGCACTGCTGCAGGTGATCGTTGATTACAGCAGCAGTGAAGAATGATGAGAAGATTCAGGATTCTTTGTAAAGGAAAATGTTTGGTTAGGGGGACAGAATAATGAGATGTGTCGAAGGAGATCAAGAGTCTGCTCCCAGCACCACTTTGAGGGGGGAGTGTTCCCTGTATTTTCTTACAGGACAGCTGTAGAACAGAGTCAGCATTAACTCTGTGTCCTCCACCAACCTCTCCCTGGTGGGGCTCCCCCAGACTCTGCACAGGGTGGGGCTGCATACATTTAGGTGACAGCTTGCTGCACTCTGGTCCTTAGCTTTTTAGCAATTGTGCTTTCCTACAGGGGCTCAGGAGTCATCCTATGTTAAATACAATTACTTTCAACTGTGGAGAGTTTTTTAAATTAAACACTTTGCTTATTTCATTTAAGAATTTGCCTTTTATTTTCCCTGCAGTTCCAACCTGTATGACAACCTGAGCCCAGTAGCATATTATCAGGCTGACCTTGCTATTTCAGCAGCTGTTGAAATTAGAGGGTAAGCAATACTATTTTAATAAACACTTTTAAGGAGCTCTGCACATTTGCTTCTTTATATTCACTGAACTTCCTTTCAGGTCTGCATAAGTTTTCAGGAAAGTTTAGGGAATTTTTAATCACAATATGTTTTTCTCTAGCCAGAGACTAAGAAAACTTTTTGGACTTTTATGTCTTAAATAATTACAAAATTTATTCCAAAAAGGAATCCTGTGCCTCCATTACTAGAGATATTTTTTAGAAGAAGAAAAAAATCACTGCTCTTGTTAGTAGTTTTACATTTCTGCAGGTCACTTTTCTCCTTCACAAACTGACTGGGGTTTTATCTGAAAACCTCTGAAACCAAAGTTGCAGATTCTATAGAATTTAAGTTTGTAATGTCCTCACCTTCAGTCTGAAGCGTAGTATTAATGTGTAATGACTTGGTTGCTCCATCACCTCTACTTCCCACCTAAAAGTCCTCTTGCTTAACCAGTTAACTTGGATTCCTGAGTCATAATTTTTTAAATTTCCCACTATATTCATTATTGTGAGGAATTTGTTCAGTATCTGAGAGGTGGGGCATGGCACACTGGAAAAGCGTGACTGGTATCTTCACTGCTTTCAGGGCTGAATTACTCTTAGGACTGTACTGCTAAGGCTCTACATCATCAATATTTCTCGTTATCATAATATTTCACATCAATTTTTCTCGTTATCATAATATTTCCCACTGATTTTTTTTTGGAGGACATGGGTGTCCTTTATCTTTTTTTAACGTAGAGAACAGAACTGAACATTTAATATTTAAACCACTTCTTTCAGGTTTTATGTAGAGGATGAGGAAGTGGAGATTGCATTTTAAGCATGTTGATTTTTTTTCCTTTAGATATTCTAGAGAATCACATTTATTTTTTCATCCTTGCTAATAACAACTCCTTTGCTCTGCTGTTTAGTGTGTCATCCCCTGATCACATATTCCTTCCTATTGCAAACTGGCAGCCAAAGGAGAATCCTGAAACAGAAGATGATATTGGGCCTCTAGTTCAGCACATCTATGAGGTGTGGAATTACTGCTGATTTCTGTGACATGGTTCTGTGATAAATGAAAATAAATCTTTTGGTGTAGCTTTACTCTGGAGTAAATTATGATTTTTTTTTTCTTTTGTCTTGTATGCAAGGAGAGATTCTATTTTTTTAATGCTGGGCCAATAACTGGTATATCCAAGAATGGTGGGAATGCCTGCAATTAGTGTGACAGGGGTTGATTACCTACATAACTACACATATTTTATTTTATTGCCTTTTGAAATCTATATGAAACATTTGCAGTAATGTGAGCTCAGGAAGGGGCTTAAGGCTGTTAATTATTGTACTCTGTCTGTTCTGAATCACTACCCTGAAGCCTTTTGCTGTGAAAAAAATTAAGTATTTAAAATTTCCTTTAAAGAATTACCACATATTTAATCTAGATTGTGTAATTAAGTGAAACTTACCGAGAGAGTTGTGTGAATATTAATAGTTAAAAGTTTTACCACTTTTAGGTAAAGGTTTGATGCTGTGGCCATAAGTGGTTGGGGGGGGGAAGTGGCAGTATCACATTTGTGGCTCAAATATAAAGTAATAGTTATGTGCACATTAACAGAGAGAGTAGCATTATTTTTTTTACATCTGTAAATTTTATTTTCATAATCAGCTGAGAAACAATGGCCCAAGTGCATTCAGCAAGGTGATGATGACTCTGCAGTGGCCTTACAAATATAAAAACAACACGCTGCTGTACATTGTGCAGTATGAAATTGATGGTCCCATGAACTGCACTTCTGACATGGAAATCAACCCACTGAAAATTAAGGTAAGCAGGACTTTCCCTTTGAGTGGAATGAAGTGTGTTTGGTTGTTTTGTAAGTTCTCAAAGTAGCCAAATCCCTGAGAATATGACAAACTGAGATAGTTTTTCATCTGTGGCTGACAAATAAGTCTACACTTTTCCACACTACCTGTCAGTGTATATAGCAGGTGAAATAAAAGGTAAACAGCAGCTGAAAATTGTCAACTCAAAGATCAATTTGTGTTGTTTCTTTTTATTGTGGGGTTTTCTTTTTTTCTTTTTTTTTTTTTTTTTTTAACTTCATTTTTGTATACGAGTTCTAAGTCCAAAGAAACAGAATTATAATGAATGTGGTCATGAACTAAAACCAGATGCTCCTGGACTCTTTATGTAGATTTTCTGGGTTTTGTTTCTTGGAAGAAAATGGTATTCTTTTTTTTATATTACATTTTATCTGTGTATCCAACTGGATAAAATTCATCCAATTTGGGTGAATTTATCTATTGGTCTATCCAAAGGTCACAAAGGACAATGGGGGTTAGCTATCACTGCCAGCAAAACATGGGATTTACAGAGCAGAAGAAACTTTTTTTCCTGGGCTGGACTAGGCAAAGAAACACCAGATAAAACCCATCAAGTTTAATTGAGGAGTTGATTTCTAGGATAGTTTAGAACAAGCAATAAAAGTCAGTGTGTTAGTTCAAGAAGAAATCAGTATGTTAGTTCAAGAAAATGTCAGTATGTTAGTTCAAGAGCAAAAAAAGGACTGAGGGAAGATATTCAATGTATAGAACAACAAAGAATGCTTGTGTATCTTTGATAACCAAAAAGCAGCTTCAGTGAATATGTAAGTACAAAGTTCCTGTGCTTCTGCTCTATGACTTGCAGTGATTTATTTTCAGCCGGGGTCTGAAGAATAGCTAGGAGAGAAAGAGAGAAACTTGCAGTTAGGTATTTTCTTGTCCTTAAGCTTGAAGTCTGCAATATACTGAGTCATTGTTTGTGTTCCCTTGGTGTGTGCTAGATTTCTGCTTCCAAGGACGATGACAGGAATGAAACCCTTGGCAGGGAGGATCACCGTGAGCACCGCGTCAGCCGCAGGGATTTGGCTGCCGTGGAGGGGGACGTGCACACTCTGGTGAGCTCCCAGCACTGAGCTGCTGACACCACGCCTGACAGTCCTTAAAAGCAAATGTGAGGAAGATTTTTTCCTCCCTAAACATGATTGGAAAAAAATCTCTACTAGGAAATTAACGTATTACCATATCAATGTCTCTGTAACTGCAAGCTGTAAGTAATTATCCAATACTGGAGGTAATTTAATGTATTTTAATAGTTTATGGTGCTTTGCCAGTGTAGGTATATGGGTAAAGTAATGCCATTAAGGACTTTTCAAATATTTTCATACTTGGAACATCCTTCCTATTTTTATACACAGGGCTGTGGAACTGCTGACTGTTTAAAGATTGTCTGTCAGGTTGGCCACCTGGAGAGGGGAAAGAGTGCAATATTGTATTTAAAATCACGCCTTTGGACCCAAACTTTCATGAATGTAAGTGACTGGGAATATTCTGTTGCTGCTTCTGAAACAGTAAAAGTGATTTTTGTACCCACATGCAATACTAATTTTGTTTCTCTTACACAGAAAGAAAATCAGAATCATTCCTACTCTCTCAAATCATCTGCTTCCTTCAGTGTTATAGAGTTCCCTTATAAGAACCTTTCCTTTGAAGATATTCACAATTCTACAGTTGTAAGTCATTTGCATCCAGCTTGAGTTACCATATACAATCACATCACAATCAGTGCAAAGACAATTATTGTTGAATAACATTGTTATGGTTTGGTATAATTTTAATTTTATCAGCTATTTGTTTCATGTATTTATTTCAGTTGAGGGTAAAGCACATACAGTTGAGGGTAAAACAGACTGAAGCTGACAATATTTGTGGCTTGAAAGACTTAATTGAAAATGAAAAAAACATTGGCATTAACAGTCCTTGTGTTCCTGTTAATGCCATTGTTGTTAGAGAAATATTTTACTTGAAATTTGTTTTCAACTGTAGTAGCACTTGCAGCTTGAATAATGAACTTTCATTAGATTATATAAAGCACTGTATATGAACTTTATATATGTGAAGGTGGAGCAAAAAGACCTTCTGTGCCCCAGGGAGTTTCAAAGGGAAAGGAGACAGGGTGCAAACAGAAATGAAGATATAGGCCATTTGTTTGGGCTGCCAAATTGAAAGTTTTTGGTAAGCATTATAGGATTAAGAGATCTTAAGGAAAAGGCAGAAAATGATTGTGATTAACTCATTTTTGAATATGGTTTCTAAAGCCTGTTATTAGCTGGGGCTTTTTTCTCTCAAGCCTTGTGGACTTGATTTTTTGTTTCAAAGTATACTGCCTTTTAAGAAAAAAAAAAAAAAAAAAAAAGGAAAAGCCCTTAATTATCTTTCTCTAATTCCAAAATATTTCCACATTCCTACAGTTTTTTGAAAATCATCAAGAATTACAGAAGACATGTTGCCGTGTTATCACTGACTGCAAAAAGGCAAACCCAGGCAAAACAATCCCCAACCCCCTACCATAATTTAATTTTAAAATCCTATTAAATTTGGGTCAGTGAAGACTTTATGTCACCAAGAATCTATGGCTTTTGATTCATTCTGGAGAGAAAAAGTAATTTATACTGGATTAAGATTATAATCATGATAGGATTACGGTATACAAGATTCAAACTGCATGGATGAACTCAGCATATCACTGTGGTGCAAAATGTGATTTATTGTGTTTTTCTATCAGGTTGCTACAAATATTACATGGGGCATTCAGCCACAGCCCATGCCTGTGCCAGTGTGGGTTATCATTTTGGCCGTCCTAGCAGGGCTACTGCTCCTGGCTGTTCTAGTGTTTGTCATGTACAGGGTAAGTTCTGTGTCTGGGGGGTTTTGTATAATTTGCTTTTCCCTACTAGTGATGTATTATTTCATACAGTACTAGCACTTTGCAGAAATGCCTTGCCCCCCTGATCATCTGAATCAGTTAAGTTTTTGGAATAACTGTAAAAGCTTTTCAGCTTTGTCAGGAAGAGGCTGAATAAAAGAGCATGTCTGTGATGGTGCTGAACTCAGTTTAAGTTTTCAACTGATATTTACTGTCTGTGGAGGTCAAAACTGAGGGACGAGAGTGAAAAGACAGCTTAATCAGTTAAGATCTGATCATGGAGGAAAGAAAAAGGATGTATGTTTTGCAAGTCACAATGCAATTTCTTAATTGTTCTCTGAACCACAGATGGGCTTTTTCAAACGGGTGAGGCCACCTCAGGAAGAACAAGAAAGAGAGCAACTGCAACCGCATGAGAACGGGGAGGGAACATCAGAAGCCTAAGCAGAGTTTTATCTGTAAGACATTCTGAAACGTACACTTGCCTACATCTTGGTTACAAATATTGGCTTCCCCCTCCATGAGCAAACCCTCACCACTGCAGAGCTGCTGTTCTCAGAAGGCTTCAGCACGAGCAAAACAAGGGCAAAACACTTCAACCTCCCCCCTGCATTAACCCCTTCCTGCCTGCCACTAACGCATCCGCACTGACCCCGAGGGACAAACTCCAGGGACAGCAGTGCTGGGATTCTGCTTGCTGGGACACAGGACGCATCATCTTCTCTGGTTCATGTACTGACTTGACTCTCCATGAATTGCTACGCAGATTCTGCATTTGCCCTTGGAGCCAACAGCCTCCGGAGGTGCTGGCTGGATTCCGTGGTTGGTTTTGGTTGGAGTACACTACATTTCATTGCCTAGCTCTTGAAAGTCAATTGCACAAAAAAAAAAAAAAAGGAATGTAGCTTGCTTTACAGTACTGAAGAATGTTCTTTACCCATTAGCTCTGATGATGATTTTTTTTTTCTCCTGCTCAAGAAATAGGAAATATGCAGTGGAATCATTCACAGCTGACACCGGTTCCCCTGCCTGCTCAGTCATGTGTTTTGTGGTTTCCCTCTAGACCTTACAAATACTGTTCTCCATGTCCTGGGTCTCTTACTGTAGGCACTGAGCCTGCAAGCACCAAGTGAGGGATAGAAATCTGGGGCTGATGTATTTTCTGTGGGACTTGGGGAAAAGATTCAGGGCAAGATCCCAAGACTCTGCTATGTATTTCCACAGTGCAGGATCCAGGTGTTCCACAGAGTTCTTGGCACCATGGATGCATTCATGCCCTGCCAGGGACAAGGTGCTGGGCTGTGGCTGCCAACAGGCATGTCTGAGAAAACCCTTGATATCCACAAGTTAAACCTGTGCAGGGTTTGAGGTGAAGGCTGTAAATTAGTTGGATTGTATTTTGGTTTCTAGCAGAACCCTGGAGGGACACTGTGTGACAGGTTACCTGGTGCACTGTAGGGAAACTGTTAATCCTCACTTTCCCTGCTTGACCATGCCCAGGTGCAGGATGGAATGACACAGGGGCTGTTCAGACCAGTCTCTCTGCCAGCCACATCCATGGATCTGGATTACACCTGCACAGGGAAGAGCTGGCAGTGCACAAGGGTTCAATAAGTAAAGGTTGATTCGGCTTGTTTCACTTCACTCATTCATTGTTTCATTGGCTTGTCTGATTTGATTCATTCATTGTTTCAGGCCCTGCATGTTTCATTGCACAAGGCATTTCATTGCACAAGACATTTCATTATGTTCAATGCATTTCATTAACAGAAAAGACACTAAGAATTTTAATTCATTGCTGGTTTTTGAACATACCAAAAGGTCAGTGGTTTGAAACCAGTTTTACATCACTCTCAGCTTATTTCCCTCACTGTTGGTGTAGTAAAAGGAAGCTTCTTACACTGATTGAGAGAAGAGCATTGTCTATGCATTTCAGTGCACAAGGAACTGCAGAGCAGGAGGTTGTTCAGCTTGCAACCACAGGCTGCACAGATCCTACAGAGGACATACCTGAACCATTACTGAGGTGCCTTCTATGAGATGTGTTTATTCTCTTTTCCAAAAAGAGAATAAATTACACTATAAACTCTCTGTGTGCAGCCAGGCACACAAAGGAAGACTTCTAATGTACTTACACCAGTGAGACTTCTAAGTTCTTGAAAGGGCAAAAGCTCTGGTTTGGTTTTGTACCTTGGGGTTTTTGTCCACAGCTGCATCTCCCCCATAAATACAGCAGTACCCACTAAACCCAGAATTTTCTGAAATGGGCAGTTTGTTTCAACTCTGATTTCTGCACCCTTTCAGAGGCTTAAAATCCACCAATGGCTTTTGTTGTTAAGTCCATTCTTACTTGCTGATCCGTGATGGCATCTGAGTCCTTCAGGGAGAGAGCACTGAGGCTGGGGGGCCAGTATGTTCACCAGATATAGGCTTGCATATTTATCCATTTACATGGGTTTGGTTTAGACTGTTTAGATAAAATTAGTTTACACAAAAGGGTATAGGGCTATGATTCCGCTTTCACTGAACTTTCGAGGTCTTCAGTGTGGCCAATGTTTGCTTTTGTCCTTATTTTTAGTATTGTTGCTAGTAATGTAGTAGAGAATCAGGAGTCAGGCTTTGATCCTGGCCCCAAAATGTGACTTTGGTAGAGCAGCATCTTCAGTTATTTACACGGGCTTGTGGTTCTCACGCTGTGCCAGCTGATTATCTGTGTGCAAGGAGATTGGTTTTACTCAGCCTTAATCTCAGTAGGGTAAGAGGTTTAAGAGACTGCCAGACAGATTATAGCTCTAATTCCTACGTGTGTGCTTTCATTACATGTACACTCCGTGGTGACTTGAAATTTATTAGACTACTTGCATGTGTAGGCTTTGTTAGGAGGTGAAAAAGAGTATTTAAAAAAAAAAGCATGGTCAAGATCCCTCCTGCTCAGAGGGATGGGATACCATAGCATTGCTAATGTCTGTGCTAACCGCATCCTAATTTTACTGGAAACTCTTTCCGCTGATTTTCAGGATAAGAAGGTACATTTTATTGGTACAACTACTGTAGCTATAGAAAGTATCTTCCATTTTTGAAGTTACATAAAGTAAGACTTATTTAAGTGATTTTTATTTCTTGCCTTCTGCTGGAGAATGAGAACAAATAGTTGCTTCTTCCATGTCCATTAATTTCCAGTTAGATTAAAAGACCACTGCATATATAAATGGAGTATACAGGTTACTTAGTGAGCATAGATGTAACACCTCAAATTCAGTTTAAAGTAGCATTTGTGTTTCAGGGAGATTCCAAACTGGAAATTTTCCTGAATGGGGGTGCAGGAAACTTTTGATAGTGTGTTCTAGATTCAGCAATAAGATTCCAGATTATGTATGTACTTGTGTCAATATAAATTTTATAGACTTAACAGGCATTGATGTATTCTTGCAGCAAGTACTGTAGAATGATGTCAAAGCTTTTAGAGAAACTTTAGAAAAGGTATTTTAGAATGAAATTAATGCCTTTGAGTCAAAATTGGTATGCACATGGTGCATACTGGAAGCATTTAAAAAATACAAGTACAGTAACAGAGAATTAGCCCTCTTTTGAGAGCTATGTTTCAGGAGCAGACTTTTTATGAATATAAAATCAAGAGCTATGTAATTATTTAGACAATAAAAACATTTTTAAAGAGCTATATCTTTTATAATGAAATATGAAATTATGTAAGTGCTCCAGTTTGCAATTAATGCAGCATCTCATGATCAATATTGAAAAGTGATTTATATTACAGAATGCATATTATCTGTTACTACGTTTGACAATATTTAGAAAATGTAAAGCAAGGAACCTAATTTATAGGTTTACATTTCTTTCAAGAAACTATGAAGTTGTGGAAATAGCTTTTGTTTAAGCATGACTGTAAAGTCAAATATGGGCTATATTTATCAGTGTAATTTGAAATCTTTGATTAAGTTTGCTGACATTGTTTGCCAAGTTATCAGGGTTTTTTCTGTTTTAAATCTTGATCTACACATTGATCTCCAATTCTCATAATGCTTGTGGAAACTTTCTGAAATTTACTACGTGTGCTCTTTCTTTATAGAACACTTATTCCAAGCAAAGGTATTAAATATTCAGTTGTTTCTAAACTTGAGTCCACGCTTAAATAGTCTTAAAGGGTATTTTGAAAATGTTTCAGCTATAATCAGCATGTACTTGGTGAAGGAATCATGCTGCACTTAGATTTTTGCAGCATTTGGGTTTGTTGTTGGTTACCCTGACAGAGCCCTGCAGTATTTTTTCCTACACCCTCCCAGACAGTCTCAGAGCAGCATTACCCTGGTGAAAACCAGTTTTTATCTTTGGTCCAGACTAACGTGGCCCTTTGAACGTGATTCTTTGTGTCCAACGCTGCTGGCTGTTAATCAGTTGGGAGAAAAAAAAGTATTTTATTACAGAAAAACAGGAATCCAAAAAATAAAAAGGTGATGGCAGGGCCCAGATGAGACGATTTTGGTTGGTTTCTGAGGCGTGCCGAGCTGTGAGTGCCCCGATGGCGTGGTTCCAGCCTGATGCCACAGCTGGGATCAGGGTTATTACTGAGCTCTGCTGACTCCTGTGGGAGCTGAACTCCTTGGTACTGAGTCTTTAGCCTCCAGCCCCAGGTGCAATATGCCATGGTCTGAGCTGGTTGCCTGCCAAGTCCTCTCTCTGCCCGGTTTTGCTGGCCTGAGAAGGGCCGTGGTGTTTTTGTTTTTGCGGGAGGACATGACAGAGCCAGCGTGCTCGCTGGAGGTGATGAGTTAATGCTATTGCAAGTCTTTGATCACCCACATTGGGTGAAGCTTGCTGTATATTCTAAAGTCTATCCACTACTAACTCCTGAGTTCTTCAGAACTGGTACCACCTTCTTTAAGCCCATTGTGGAAAATTTGACTGGAGACTATAGAATACTGGGGTTGAGTCTCTAGTACTACTGCTGTTTCATGTGATTGTGGTATTTAGGTCTATTTTTAATTCCCAATGTGTAGAATTTTAACATAGCACAGGAAATCTAACCTTTCATGCAATGAACTTCTCCAGATGTGCTGCATTAAAGGTGAATAACTTGACCCTTGGCTTTTGCAAAGTAATGGAAGATTTCATGCAGCATTTGCATCTTAAAAAATCCTTGTGCAGGTTTTGCTTTTCTAGTCCATGAAGGAAACCTGTATTTGCTATGACACAAATATTCTGAAAATGTAACATTTTATTTCTTCATAATGGATTTTTTTTTGCCTTTTTCTTGTGTTTGCTCGTGCAGTAAATCAGTAGAGCATTATTTGCACAAGCAAAAAATTAACATACTAACGAGAGTGCTGCGTTTTATGTTTCTTTGTCATGCAGTAAATACTTGCAGCAAAAATGGGAATATTTTCAGTTACCATGAACTTGTTTCAAAGGTCTTCGGTACATTTAAGGAGAGCAATATACATTTGAAGTCACCTTATTTTGTATTAAATTATAAATTGTGCAGAGAAGTGGGTATTGTGGCACAGTAATTTTGTACTGATATGAAATATATAGCTATTATAGCTATGGTTTGCTTTTTAACTCATCCTTTTCATCCTAATGCAAATTTGAGTGTTTTTATTAGGTTGTATTTTTCTATGTATATATACAATTTCAAAATACTATGATTGGGTAAACCGAAAAATGTAATTATTGATTTGATTCTGATATTTAGAATTTTGGAATAAAATACCTCTTAATCAACAGAAATTCTGCTATAGGCTTGTTTTTGGTTTTTTGGGATTTTTTTCTGCCTTATGTGTATTTTTTAAAATGCATTTAATTCAAAAATATTTCATAGTATATGTTTGTACTCCACAATTATGTGCTAAGTTCAAAAACCTTACATTTACACAGCTTTTATGTTTGCACCTCAAGTGGCACCTTGAGTCAAAAAATCTTGTAATTACAAGCAAGAAAAATGATCTAGTCACAGACTATATTCTATCACCACAAAACTGATTTCCAACAGAAATTTCTACATACCAGAAATAAATATTTTAGACTTTATAGGTGCCAAATTCCTGTAGAAAATGCTGACATCTTGTCCTCAGGTCAGGAAAATTCTCAGGGAGCTGGAGTTTTTTTCCTTGTTGTATTCTTAGTCTAATTTGATCTGAGTGTTACATTTTTTCTGATTACCAGTCATACTCCGCTGTGTGGGTGGGGTGACAATAATATTTTGTGTCACAATAAAGGCATTCATGAGTGTGTTTTATTGCTAAAAAAAACCCGTGAGAAGTAAATGTGATTGTGAACACTTCAGAAAAACTCCAAACTAGTGAGTCCCCTGGTTTGCTAGAGAATTTAACCTAAAGAGAAGAGTAATAAAGGAGACAGAAAAGATGAAAATCTGATATTTGTGGTTTAATTAACAACTTCCACAGATGTCACTGTAGCTGTACTTCACTCTTTGCACACCTGAGTGATGCTTGACTGTGAGTTTTGATCATTAGTTAGCTTGTAAATGCATTGCCAATACATTAATACTTTAGTGCATGTCAGTACGTTAATATTTTTAAATCGCCGGTTCAGGCATTCTCAAGAACATTGTGAACAATACTTTGAAAAAGTATTTACAGGAACTTCTCATCAATAGATTGTCTGATCTACATAAAGAATTGAGGTTAGTGCTGTCAGCTTCTCATCTTCTCACAAGGTATTTCACCTAGAATCAATCTGTCCTGCTGCATCTTCCTGATAAACTCCTGGTGCTGAATTATTACCCCTCTTGACAAACACACAGGACATGCTAAGACTAGGTTTACAGGACACAAAAGCACAACACACACCTTGAAAATGTGAGAAGAATACTGACAGTAAAATACCCCATTGTAATTTACATTATTTGTAATTTTACAGGCAGACCAGGCCTGTGTGGTACTGCTTTTGGGAGTTTTGCAGAGTCCACATAGACTGACATTTCTGTGTCATTTGTGCACACATTTTTGGCCCTGGCAGAACAGCAGATGCCATGTTCACTGGTTGATGGCAATGGCTGTAATTTGTTTACAGTTTGAAGAGTGTGTAGCAACATTTAAAGACTGCAGGAGTTACTGCTGGACACAGTTCCTCAAGAAAATACTCAGGTAGTTAAAACAAATTACTACAAACCTTCATTTCTTTAAAGAAAATTTGTTTAAGAAGAAAATCCTGATTGTGATTATATTTTTGCTGAAATGAATGTTATTGTGTACCCTAATTTTTCTAAATGTAGTAGAGACAATTTATTTTCACATGTTATTCCCCCTTTCCAGCCATTTTCAAGAGAGCTTTTATCACACATTTAAGAGATTATTTCCCCCCTCAGAACTTTATAAATGAATAATTGTGCATATCTATATCATCAGCATTAATTTAAAATGTTCCTGCCAAGTTGGTTCAACTATCCCTCTCCAAATAATTTATATCTTGTTAAAAGCTCTTGTCTGCAAACATTTGGGAATGCATTTGTGGTCTGCCACACCCTCAGTCACCAGACAAATTCCTGAACAAAGGAAGCTCAGAGCATCAGCACCAGCAGGTTTCCTGTAGGTCCCTTTCTTCCACCTGGGACCACACACAGTTGCAGAGAATCCAAAATTAATTCAGCTCTAAGAGTGGCTGTGCAGGAACAACCACTTTTCCTTCGCAGTGCCCACATAAAAGGTGGAAATAGGAAGCTGGGTGAGAGGATGTTAATTAAGCAAATAGGCACTGAGCATGTCTGCTAAACTAAAAAGAGAATTTATTTTTTTCCTTATGAGTTCCTGGAGGAGTTTCACATCAAATAAATGATTGTTTTATTTGTCTGGTTTTTGTGGTTCTTTGCTTTCTTTCAAGAAAGGTCCTGTCAAATGAAATCAGGTTTTCATGGCAAAGGATTTTTTTGGTGCTGATGTGAAGAAAAAAAGAGATTGACAATAAAGAATAATACTGAGAAGTACCTGCTGAGGAGGATGTGCATTTCCCACTGCAGCATTATCCTACGAGCAGTGACTGTTCCAAAATGGTGCCAATGGACTGTCAGCAACTGCAATAAAAGCAAGTTGTATTTTCTATGTCAATCCCAAATCTATTTCAAGTCATTGTTAATGGCAGTCAAATAATTACATTGTACTGTAAAGAATGAATAGAGGCATAATGAAAAATATATTTTCTTCAGATTTTATAAGAGATATGTTGAAAATATGCACAGTAACCTGTCAGTTCTTACTTTCAGCATGGCCAAATTTATACCCTACTATAGTTTGTGACTCTATTCCTCTGTTTCTCTTGCAATGAAGAAATTTTCTGCAATCTGAAAATAACAAGATTTGGCCTAGTATGTCATAGTGTCTAAAATAAACCCTTTACTTGGCTGATCTTTTTTTGTAAAAAAGCAATTCAAGTAATTTTATACTTTCCAAGGAAGTTTCTATTCACCATTTCAACATACACTGAAGATTTAGTGTTTACCTGTTCTGTAAGAGCTCACAGAGAATGGGATGTTGGCCTCTCCGGAATCATGGCATGGGCTCGCTCATCCCCACCAGTGTGAGACCCCTGTGGGGTGATGCCAGTGTGTGCTCAGCCCCCAGCACACAGGTGGCTGCCTGCTCTGGGGCAGTTTGGTTTGTCTGGATGTGCTGCCCTTCCTCGGGTTTTGGGGTTTTTCCAGCCTTATCCGCTGGGAACACCTGCAGTGGTTTTTCCATTACCCTGCCCTGGGCTGTGTGGATACACCCAGCTCCCTCAGCCTCTCCTCATCAGGAGTGTGCTCCAGTGACAGCCTTGAAAACGACATTACATCTCCTGAAGCCTTGATCCTACACACAGCCATCTCTCTGCCTCATGTGCGTGTTTATTCCTACCAGCAGTTCCTGATATCCAACATCGCGCTGATCAGCAATATAGAGAATAAATTTCTTTAGCTCTCCTGAACGCATTTTTTTAGAACTAAGGAAGCATATAAGTAAAATTGAAATGTGTGTACACGTGTTTGTGAGGCCAGAGAAGGGCAGCAGAGCTTGGGGAAGGGTCTGGAGTGGGATGAGGAGCAGCTGAGGGAGCCGGGCGTGTTTATTCTGGAGAAAAGGCGGCCCAGGGGAGACCTCACTGCTCCCTGCAAGCACGGAGCAGCCAGATGGGCCCTGCTCCCAAGCAATCAGTGACAGGGCGAGAGGACACACTCTTGAGCTGTGCCACGGGACGTTTAGGCTGGACATCAGAGTTTTTTCACAGAAAGGATGATCAGACATCGGAACGGAGAGGTGGCGGAGCCACCATCCCTGCCGGTGTTGAAGGAAAGCCTGGAGGTGGCAGGATCTGCTTGGCACGGAGCTCTTGGGTCACAGGCTGGACTCGGTGACCCCGAAGGCCTTTCCCAGGCCTTCCGTGGGTTCCGTGGATGGCTGACACCGCGCTTCCCAGAGCGGGGGCGATGCTGCGGCTGCCGCGGGCACTGCCCACCACAAGCGCGGGGGCCGATGCCAGCGCTGCCGCCTCGGAGCGGCGACATCCCGGGCACCCGGGGGAGGTGGCCCCGCTCCGCCCCGCCCCGGCACGTCCGTGGGCGGGCGGAGCAGCGCTCTCGCCGCCGCAGAGCCGCGGGTGCGGAGCGCTGCGCCGGCCTCCCGCAATATGCCTCCGCTGCCCGCGGGCTGCTCGCCATGCCGGGCACCTGCGGGCGCCTCTCCGCGCTGCTCCCGGGGCTGGCGGCCGCGCTGCTGCCGATGCTGATGATGATGATGGTGATGATGATGATGGGGCGGCCGGCCGCCGCCGCCGCCACCCGCCCGCAGCAGCAGCGAGCGGCGTTGCCCGGGGGCGCCCCCGCCGCGGCATCAGGTACCGAACCCTCCCCTGCACCCGGTACCGAACCCTCCCCTGCATCAGGTACCGAACCCTTCCCGGCGTCAGGTACCGAACCCTTCCCTGCATCAGGTACCGAACCCTTCCCTGCATCAGGTACCGAACCCTTCCCTGCATCAGATACCGAACCCTTCCCGGCGTCAGGTACCGGACCCTTCCCTGCATCAGGTACCGAACCCTTCCCTGCATCCGGTACCGACCCCATCCTTGTATCCGGTACCGACCCCTTCTCGGCGTCAGGTACCGACTCCATCCCTGCATCAGGACCAAACCTTCCCCTGCATCCGGTTCCGACTTTATCCCGGCATCCGGTACTGATCCCATCCCTGCATAAGGTACCGACTTCATCCCTGTATCCGGTACCGACCCCTCCTCTGCATCCACGTCCCCTCCCTGCGGGATGGCTGCTCTCCCCATCCCGGGCTCCGCTCGCCCCGGGAGCCCCAAAAGGCTCCAGCGGTGGGGCTGGAGCGCGATCCGTGTTGGGAGCCCGCGGGTGTGAGTGCAGCCGCCGGGAGCGGCGCTGACCCGCACCTCGGGCCACACAAGCCTGGCCTTGGCTAGCCGGGCTCCAGGGATTCCTGCTGGCTGGCAGGAATCGCCACAGGGAGATAGCCGAGCGTCCGTGGAATAGAAATATGTACGTGTGGATCATAGATGGGTGGTTATTTCCGTGTATATTTCTGTGTCGCTTTAAAAATAAACCAGCTGCTACGTGTGCGAGCATCTTGAGCCTGTCAAATGAGTGATGGGGCTGCTGAGCTCGTTAGTTTTTGCAGCCCCTCTGCAGATGCTTACCCAAGACCACGAAAATAATGTGCATGTTTCAGCTTTAGGCCGTAGTTTTGCAATCAAATATTTGGGGGTACCCCTTTGCA